CTAGTAGATAATAAAACAATACATTCAGACATAAATCTCATAAATATACACAGGATGCTGACCTGTAAATGAACAGGAATGAACTTGAATGTCACAAAATCACAAACAGGCCAATACATAACACCACTGATCATGGTAGGGACCAAGTCACGCTTCAATCGAGCAACAATCTCTGGACCACTTTCACCTATAAAGCAACCACAAGAGAAGTCAGCTCTAATGACTTGTGATGCGATTGCAAAAGATACCAGCTTGCTCAGAAACTGTAATAAGCATTAAGAGTGCCTTCAATAATCAAATACCACGTTGACATCATGGATTAGATACACGTATAACATCAAATGCATGCAGGTGTTAAGAAGATAGTTGCATGTGCTTTCACAACTGCCACACCGATCACCCACTTTTGGATGGTCAACATTCTTCAAAATTTTTTGACATGATTTCAAAGCATTCCAGGATCTGAAATTCAACTATTATCACCACATCTTAAGATGTAAGAAATGTTGGGGTATTACTCTTTCTCAAGCAGCTTGAACTTTAGAAGAACAAGCAATTCAACAAATTAACAAGTATGGAACATCCACTTTCAACTCTTCTGCTCAATTATATCATTTACTAAACCTATAGAACACGCATGAGCCTAAAAGTTTTTAAATCAACCTAATAGCTGAAGTATATGCAGCTCCAGAGCATAAAGGAGAGGAAAATAATGCAGCCTACTCTATGTCATACATATCCACTCTGTCAACTGAGTTGACAGTTTTTCAAAATAAGCATGGTTGATATCTATTAGGTGATTATCAACTATAAACAGTAGGCCCTTCCTGAATATTATTTTCTTTTACAAGAACATATAATTGTGTGATAACATGAAACAGAGGATGATCAAAATTTTGGGGCAAACCTTACTTAGAAGTCTAAGTAGTTTCTCTTAGCTGTAGATCAATTTCATCATGAGAACTAATCAGAAAATATAAAAAGGCATACAAAGTCTCAGAATATGCTTACTCTCGTGTACAAATTGGCCTATAAGTTATCTAAAGTGATTATCCAAATTATATATGAGTATTTGGACTCGCATCTATAAAGTAGCACTTCCTACCAAAGACCACTCCTAATAGGTTGCACTTTGTAATTGACACATGAACGCATTGAATGTACACGACAATGCAGAGATCAAGAAACAATACTGTTATGATCACACTTCAAAACTAAGGGTACATTATCATATAGGGAAAACAAAATGAAAAGAAAAATAGATATAGAACTAGAAACATATGGGACCTTGTAATGCAGCATTTACAGAGAAGAAAATAACCGTCATGGTAGGTCCAAAGACAGCCTGTCCCAAAATAATCTTTTGCAGTGTTGTGATGAGATCACGCTTTGGGAGAACCCTTGAGACAAAGTTGAACCAGAAATGTAATGAAGGACCTAAAATTATCATCCCATATCCAGCCATTCGCAATGTCCTTACCAAATCATATGGCTCTGACGATTGCCGTACAATTGTCTGGCAAAAAATGTCTATGACAATAAGAAGAAGAACAAACAAAAAGTTTCCAAGAATAATCGTGTAAAACTTAGCCAAAGACATGACAAGTTCAGAGTTGATGGCTATGAAGCTTATAAATTACAGAATACACGTACTTTGGGACGTGCCTACTTAGACCAATTGAAGCAGAATAAATGAACAGAAACAATGTTGAGCAAATATAACTACAAAAGCAGTAGATACAGAGAACTCAAAAGTTGCAATCTTGGAACACAATTTTACAAATTAACTGAACTTTCATAGCCATCAACTCTGACAATTTTGGGTAAACAAAGTAGAAACATCAAAGAACCTCCAATTAGTTAACACTTGTAACTGTGATCACGGAACAAAGCTTCCAGATCGACAGGTGATGGGCACTCAATGAAATGCCCGGCAACACACCCGACTTCAAGCTACTTACTTCACAAGGAAAAACAGTTTTATTTACTACTAAGTAAACCATGCACAAGTTCATAATTCAACAAGCATCAGACTAGCTTACGAGACAATTAAACAACCCAATAACAGCAAAAAGGAAAAAGACCCCACTACTAAATCAGCCATTAATGTCACAACCAACAAAACTAAGAAAAAGTGAGCGAGAGAGCATAGCAACCTTCAGCTACTATGCAACTGCTCAGGACAAAAGAAAAAAGGTTGCTATCCCAAAAACAATGATCAAGAAATCAACTTTTTCAAGAAAAAAAAGAGCTTGACATTTTTCCGGGTGTGAATCTAAAATTACCTGAGACGATAAATCAGCAGCAGTATAAATAAATGCACAGGTAATGCTCTTGGTAATAATAGGTCGAGACTTGACCATGCCCAAGTACCAACTCACAAGCCCGAATTTAGACGACGTCGTAGAGGTGGACAACGCCGAAGAAACGATGGCTGGAGCTGGGAGCCCGAGTTCTTTGGCCTTATGGCTGAAACGGGAATGAGGTTTAGAGTGTTGAATTTGATGGTAGTGCTCTGATGGTTTGGTGGCGGAGTGCGAGACAGAGTAGTACTTCGTCCTCCATATGTTGCACACTGATTTTGCGGTGTGGGACTTGAGCCCATGTCTAATGAAGTCTGCTCTCATCTTGTTTGTCAAACGCATAAAAACCTAAACCTCGATTGTGTTTGGGGTTTTGAGTGATGGAAGAAGACGACTAGAGCCTACTTTAAGGAGGTTTCGTACGTACGAGCGAGAGGGGAGTTCATAGGAAGTTTGATGTGAATTTGGTGACTTTTTAATGATGTGGTTGGTTCTTTGGAGTTTTGACTAGTTTACTCTCGAGCATATATGTTGATTACACTCGCCTTTTTGTTTCTTCAGAATCTAGAAAAGTAATTCAAAATCTACGCTCACCGGTGAATTTGTTACATTTGCAGGTGCTAACAATCGTGTTTTTTTTTTTTTTTATAGAAGTTGACCTTTGACCAAAAAAAAAAAAACGAGTGTTTTTGAGCTCACATGATAGAACTTCTCTTGTGCTTAAGGATGCTAAGAACTATTCGATTTCACAAGAAAAAATGCAATGAAAAATCATGTTGAAAATTTCCAACAATACTAACTAAAGTATATTAATAAGATAAAGGCTTGTTTTAACTAGAAACCTAGAAATTAGATGTTTGTTCTTTAAGAGATGTAAAATTAAAAGTGTGTAATTTTATGAAAAAATAATACTGCACGAAAGGTTAACCATAGAAAAGTACGTGTATTTTTGGGAAAAAAAAATGCGTTAAAGGTACACTAATTAAAATTTCAATAAAATAGTGCAAAATCAGAAAAATATTCAACTATAAATATTATTGTTCAACCAGCGAATATAATTGATTGATTATTATTGGACTACGAATATTCTTTTTTATTTTCTTGCTCACCTCTAATATGCACTTTGTCTACTACACATGCTCGTTATTAAAATTTCAATAAAATAGTGCAAAATCAGAAAAATATTCAACTATAAATATTATTGTTCAACCAGCGAATATAATTGATTGATTATTATTGGACTACGAATATTCTTTTTTATTTTCTTGCTCACCTCTAATATGCACTTTGTCTACTACACATGCTCGTTATTTTGCATAAAAGCACGCTTATAACTACAAGGCGTGTAATAAATTTAAAAATTTATATAAATATGAATAGTCTCGAAACAAATTTCGTTACTGCCAAACAACTAAAATTACAACCATTTATAAATAAAGAAGTAATGTTTATGTAACTTTGATTTGGAGGAGCTTGTTCCACAAACTTAAAAGTTAATCTTTATTTTATGTTCATTTATTACGACATGGTTTGTTCTTTTTCATGATTTGGTATTTGCAAATCTAGAAATAATTACGAGATGAAAAAGTACCCAAAAAGAAAAGGTACAAAAAGAACAAGTCGTTTTCATTCAACTGGCGGAAGCAGCGAGTACGCGTTCACTATAATGCGGCGGCTGCACGACCTTCATTGCCGTTGAACACAAAATCAATTTCGAATCTTTTAGTTTTGTGCGGCCCCGTATTACTATTTACTAGGAGGAGATCATCGCGCGATGCGCGATGGATGAATGGAGTTATGCCCACTAATGCCTAATGTGTTTTTGAAATATTGTAATGCCAATGAATTAAAATAATAAAGATGTATTCCGGGTTGTGTTTTGAATAAGTATATGGGTAATTAAAATTTGAGGAAAAATAATAAGAAGATTGGAAAATGTGTAATGTAATGTGTTTAATAGTGCAATATGGAAATGCAGTGATGATTAGTAGGTGTGAAAGTGGTGATGATTAGTAGTGTAATATGTTCAATAAAAGTTGAATCCTTGATATAGCGAGCTCTCCCAATAACATAGCTATATCTTGAGATGTAGAACTCATATGACCATGACTCTTGAGGATTGTGTAACTTGTGGATGTCTAGAGAGACCTATAGTTGTTTGAGAAGATGCAATGCAAATGATAAATGTAAACAAAAGGTTGGTAGGCGCCAAAATCTATTAATAATTTATAAATAAAGTTGAATATTAGATAAGCATTTGTATGTAACGGAACACAATACATTATATTGTCCTTAATATTGGCAATTACTGAAGCCTCATTTGGATTCTGAGATTTTCCAGAATAATTTTAAAAATTGTTTTGATGCATTTTCAAATCATTGCGCATCTGTGGGATTATATCGGTCGTATTGCAATTATGCCTACGGTGATCGAACCATCTCCAAATATTGAAAACATATATATGCAAGCAGTAGTGAATCACAATTGGTATGAGATGGAGCACATGCTGTATAGCCACAACCTTGTATGTAACAAAATCAACCATAAATTCAGCTTTGGTATATTTGTTGGAACCATAGCTTTGCACTGTACAAAATTAAGGATGTTGTCATCTAATACCGTGATAAATTGTTGAAGCCAAACACTTCCTAATTGGAGAAAAACACAATTCAGTTGAAAGCAATAAAGCTATCATAGAAAAAAAATTTATGAGAAAGGAATTATTGAATAAGTAAAGAGGCCAATTGATCTCTAGACAATTGTTGATGTTCCCATAAATATATTTATACATGTATAATTTTGGATGATTACTAATCATCACCGGGGCAAGATTTATAAAAAAAAAAAAAAAGAAATTCAAACTGTCAAATGCACACTATTCGTGGTTGGAAAGATCTGATCTTGCGTCTTGATCATGCCAGTATAGGAAAAAAGCGAAAAAGCAGTCATCTCAAGTAGATAATCAACTTTTCGCACTCTTCATCCTAGAAATTCAGCCGCTAATTCTGTCAGAAGTACTATATCATCACAAATGATTATTTACAACAAGATCAATAAAAAGAATGTTAGGAGCAATTTGGAAATTTGAAATGTGACAATATTGTAAAACAGGTACACTGGAGTCATCTAACTGGTTTTCATCATTTTATAAGAACAAGGGTATGCGATGACTTAAAATTCAAAAATTCAAATTAAAACAGATTTCTAATAAAAACATAAAAATGTAATCCCCTAACAAGTTGTTCACGTTAACTGTTTAAACAACCAGCCAAATAGAAAGCTGAAACTCCCGTGAATTATATGAGACTATACCACTTACAAGTATAATGTTGCAGATTTAATATTGAAGGCCACCCTACTATTATGAGGTGAATCATTTTATGTTGTCAACTTACAATGAATCGACTCTAAACATTTCAAGCTGATGTAATCTAAAACACAAACTTTAAGAAAGGTAAAAAAATTACTTAACCCCGCGTACCAAAATCAACCATTTTTTAGAAAATTTTCTTTTGATTACTAATATTCGAATAAAATGCTAGGTCCTAATGAATGCTATACTGAAACTATTGTCAAATTTCAGCCCAATCTATAATATTCGAACAAAATGCTAGGTCCTAATCAATGCTACACTGAACAATAGTTTGTCAAATTCCAACTATTGCCAATCCCATTTCTCACCACAAATTCAATCTTGAAAGTTCTATTAACATACTAAACCACCTTTCCTATATGGGAAAACCAACCCAGATACAAAATAAAAAAAAAATTCTTTTGCGGCAAGACTTCACACTGAGTTGATAGAGCATCTTACCTTCATGGAACTTGTATGCAAAATTCAACAATGTTAAGCAAAAGTAGCAGTCTTCGATACCCCTTTATGTCAACATAATGCAAACCATAAAAATGGTTTTACCTGGGAACAGAATGTTAAAAGACATAAGAGCGTCGGCATAAAAACCTTAATCTACTGTTTGTTTCTTAATGACTATACCAACAAAATTATAAACAATAATATTTTCCAATCATATCAGAGTTACCATTTTGGAAAATGATCAATGGTTCTCAAAAAGACAGAACAAAGGATCTTCTATATTTGCACTTGTCAAACCAGAAAATACATTATTCACATAATTTAATACATTATTCGAGAAGAAGAAAGAGATGTAAATTTTTAAAGCCAATGTCACCATTGAATTTGAGAATAAGAAGCAAAAACACCAAAAACATGAGAATTTTGATACATTGATGACCACTTAACTCCTTTTTTATCTCAATCAACTTCCAGTGATTCTAGAATTCTACTGATTTAAAAAACATTGAAATGACATATAAATAATTTTAAAAAATAATACAATGATGAAACTAATAATAAAGGACAAAGTACAAAATATGACTACTGAAGTATCCAATCATGAACAAGCTAATGGAAAACTTTTAAGGGAACAACGTTTATGATAATTAGTTGTCCTTTTTCTTCTCCAAATTTTTCTGCAATGCAAAACGTAAAACCAAGCTTTGATGTTACAAGCTGTAGCCCTTGTTCACTGCACGATAACCCAATTAAATGCAATTGCGAGGCTGACTTTGTTCCTTTTTATTTCTTCTTTTCCTTTTTTACTTCCTAAGAAAATATCAACCAGTTCACATGGGAGTGAAAAATAATCATAATAAGTTCAAAATGGCCCCAATTATAAAATACTGTATGAAGCTTTTTCAAAAATTTAGAAGAGGAAATGTGAATCATAGTTTAAGTGAGGAAACACTGAGTATGTTTAATATGTCGAGTCATTCCCATCCAAATCACTGATTTTCCTATTTATATCAATTCGAAGAGAACAACATACCAACAGATTAGTATATTGATTCAATTCATCCATTTCCTCCTTTTAGCCGTCACAAAGTAAAAATAACAACTAATTCAATGGAGCATCTTCAACCAAATAAATGTATTATTTACAAACAATGGAGCCTCATTGACATCAATACCAAACTACTAACTTTAAGAAATTGCTTCCTATGTGGTGGATTTTTTCAAAGGCGTCAGTCACCACAGCTTCAGAAAAATATACTCTGCGTCCAAAAATTGTATGTCATAGAAAAATTGTTTCGCATTAATCTGTTGCAAGTTTCAACCACGAAAACTTTCTCCAGGAAAAGTAATGTGCACGAGAAATTCTACCACTGGTGCAAATTTCCCCACATCATATCAAAGTAAAGAGTGAGAAATCAATGCTTAAATCAATGGAAGAATAGTATTTCAGATCTCTGGGTTATTAATCGAAAGATTAACAAATCTTAGCAGGAAAAATGTCTTTCTTTTTTAAATAAAGGAAACTGTAAAACTTTAGGGAAATATTGGAGCTTACCAATTAAGATGATTTCTGTGTCTCATGCGTTTAGTAGCTTCATATCCAGACCAATTCTAACAAGGGGAAAAAATCAATTAGAATCATATAATTGAAAAAAGGAAAGAGAAGAAAGGGAAAAGGGGGGAAGGGGGAAACCGGAGGGAAAAACAGAGAAAAAAGGACCAAATAAAAAACAACAAAAAGGAACAAAGGAACAAAGAAATGAAAAGAAAAATGGAAGGGGAGAGGAGAGGAGCTCTGGAGAGCAACGAAGCGGCAGAGATGAATAAACTTTTGACTTGAAATATATAAAAAAAAACATAAATTAGGAACAAAAAGAAACCAGGAAAAATTTCTTATAAAGGCATTAGATCGGGAAAAGTTCCAAAAAAATTTCTCAAATTTGTTAAATCCTTTTTAACACTTTTTGGCCAAGAGCAAAATTGAGATACAAATATGGCAAGAGAAGGAAGAATACCAGGCAAAAGAAAGGGGGGAAAAAGAGCAAAACTAACAACGTGTTTTAGAACACAATTTTAAAAAAAGGAAAAAAAATCTTACAGAGTCTCACAAGAATGTTGGAAGAGATTCCAAAATTTTCACCTGCAATATCACAAATAAATACGAATTAGATTAGATCAGGCAACTAAACCTAAAAAGAAAAATAGAAGGCTAGAGAAATCAGGGAGGGAAAGAAAAAAAATACCAACCATATGTTTTGGTCCTGATGTTGCCGGTCATGGAGAAGAAGAGAGCTAGAAGGGCTCTGGGGTGGTTGATGAAAATGAAGAAGAAAAGAGAGAGATGGTCTCAGAGAGAGAGAGAGAGAGACAGAGACAGAGGAGAATAGCGGAGAACAGCGATGAACAAAGGAGAAAGAGAACCTTGTAAATTGTGATGCATCGAGCCATGTGCTAGTCCCATCCTCGACAGAATGCGTCAGAAAGAAAGAAAACCAATGCAACAATCAGCAGGCGTCCAATTCTAACACGGGCTGGACGACCATCAATTCGGAATTCCCACGGGCCGGACGACCACCAATCAACCAATGCAAGCAAGCCACGTCAGCAATTGAAGCCCAATTGAAAACAATGGCATTCCCCAATAGACTAGATATGTTAACTACTAATAAAAGTACACTGGCGTCCAGGACAAGAGAACCATCGGGTGCACTCCACCGGTGAGTCAGCATTTTTGAGCTTCGACACGACTACGCCTCTACCATCCCTCCACTAACACGTCTCCCCCGTTGCTTGCTCAAAACTTTTGCTGTTAACGTTTTTGCTTATACCAAATCTGAAGTTTGACCAACAGCCGACAGCATATCCGCAGATTAATTCCGTTGGTTTATCAATTATTAACTATTTTTTTTAAGTTTTCAAAATTTCCACGTTCGCTTCTCCCATATAACCAGTGGTTTACTGGCAATTTCATTCGCATGAATAAATATCAAAATCTTATGAGCGCCAAGCCAAGTTAAACCAGGGAAGAAAAAGCAGCAGAATGAAGAAGATAAAACCAATGAAAGATGCAGCAAAATGCGCTAAAAGAAGTTTCAGTTACAATAACAATCATAGCTATAAAAAAGTCGGTCCAGTCTGACGGTTAAACCGACCAATTCGATGAACCAGTCATAGGACTGAACTGGATCGTTAATTAAATCGGTTAAGCAACAAATTCGTTAAGCAATTAATGACTTGAAAGTTCAACTGGTAATTGAATAAAGGCCTTCGGTTTGAATTGTTGGCTGATTGTCAACATAAAAATTTTATTATTTTTATAATTTAAATATATATTATTATGTTATATAATATAACTATTGTACAACTCGCTGTTGAACCGTCCAAATTGCAATTGAACCAATGACCCGATGAACTGATCGCCTCATCGGGTCAAATTTCAAGCTGAATTTAATATCTATGATATCAATAAAATTGCCAATTAAATTCAAGTAGCACAAGATGATTCACAAAGACGGTTTAGATTGCCATTTTTAGCAAAAAAATTGTTTGAAATATTCTCTTATACATTTCTCTATTTTTTTTTTTTATCTTACATAAATCACATTGCTATAATATATAGAACTCCAAAAATTTGCAATTCAAACAACTATGCTTGCAAATCCAAAAGTAGAGCTCATTAACACGTCTTGTTAATTAACTCCTTTAATGGCTTGATTAGCAATATGCAGCTGTGTAGATAAGGAATAAACAACAAAATCTAGTCTTTACTAACTCCATTCTCAAGCCCAGACAGGCAATATAAGGATGTAAAGGCATGTATACCACAATTTTATTATCACACAAGGCATGCCAAATACCAATACACTGAAAGCAACCTCTATTTCATCTTCAGATCAGCAGGATCTGCCAGGTGAGATTACAACTTCTTGTTTCACTTCTAGCTTTATTAAACCTGTTAATACCTCTTGAAACTTGCGCTGTTCTACAATACTTTTTTCACTGCTACAGTACACAATCCAAAGATACGTTTTAAGGGGTTCCTGTAATTTGTTGATCTTCAGCATTTGAAGCTAATCAAGCATAAGTCTTTTTTCAGCATCCAAAGTCATACGGCACCAATCCTTTCAGCTCAGGTCCTTTCAGCTTGTTGTTTGCATAACTGAAAATCAAAAGCATCAGGATGACAACCTTGCATATCATGCTTGTATGCATAATCCAGGAATCAGCTAGTGAACATTATGTATTGCTATTTTTAGATAAAATCCCAATTAACATTTGTTTGGATTGCTATTTTTTTGGAATTTTTATAGAAAAATGCACTGTAGCAATTTGATGTATGTATGTAAGGTAAAAGATGATTAAGTTTGTCCGCACTTTCCAAGACGAAGGAAATAAATCTGTACTGGTATAGGAAGTTCTACGAACAGTTAAGGGGCAAGAGAAGGATTTAAAGGTTTTCTTTCCAACTGAATCTTCTATAACATCTCAAGGTGATGGGTAATCTAAATCAAGATAACTAGCTCGAGTTTCTTCAAAATCTTCAAGGATATTTAAAGAAAATTATCAGCCCACCACAAGGAGGTGGATCGTTTATTATTGCACACAGCACTAAGAATGATTTCAAACACTGAACTTAAATTTGGTCCCGACTCTACGTAGCTTGGGTTCAATGGAAGGAAAAAGAAATGAATGGTTTTTGACCCTTTTTTTTTTTTTTTTGTCGTAACGGCACATGTCTAGCCTACTCCTACTCCTAGGGGGGCGGGGGGGAAGGGGGAGGAATCTACTCTATGGGAAAGCCCAACTGAGCTGGAGGAATCTGACGGGGACTGAAAAACCATCAGACCAGACGGGTGCACCACACACCCGTATAGATTTAGAACATACCTCATATTGAGACATATTGATGGGAGGCAAAATTTGAACCCTTGACCTCCCACATCACAATTAATATAGTAGCCAACTCCTCTAAAAACTCATTGAGATGGTTTTTGACCGATTAAAAACTCATATTGCGTGCCTATCTAATTTCCTTACCAAAAATATGTCCATCCAAACAGTGGACAGCCACGGTATCAGATACTAGATTAGGCATCACTTGGAAAGACAAAAAACTTGACTAGAGCTAGAAGATTGCTGTGGCTGGTGTCTTGGCAAGAAGCGAAGTGGTAATAGAAACAAATACCTTTCCATGGGAAAACTGCCAAATGGGCCGTCAACCGGAATTGTTCCACAAAGATCGTTGTTAGAAACATCACTGCAGATTCAAAGTTCATAGCATGACTCGTACAGGAATGGAGAACGGAAGGAATCTTTTTCTTGATTCAAGTAAAATGAAAGCACTCTCTAGTGTCTACTACTTACAAAACTTTAAGATTGGATAGTTTTGTGAGTTCCCTGGGAATTGATCCTGTCAGCTTGTTGTCATTTAGTCGTCTGTAACATGAAATATGATGTTTCAATCAACAATGTACCTATAACTAAGAAATATTGAGAATTTTAAATGTATCTCTATTTAGTGAAATTGATACTTACAAAAATCTTAAAGACTTCAACTTCGCAAAGGACTTGGGGATTTTTCCCTCAAACTTGTTGCCATAGAGATCCATGCTTATAAGGCTTTCCAAATTACCTAACTCCTTTGGGATCTTCCCAATTATATTGTTCCTATATAATTCCCTGCAATTCACACACAAATTTACACCACGTCACACGAAAGCATAAAGTAGAACGTTAAAGAATGCGCAACCAATATTTGGCTTTGCCAGCAGCAATCAAGATTTTCTCATACAATAAAGTTGAGAACTTCCCCTTCTTCTTGCCTCCCTTTCCTCCCAATCACATGCTTTTACGAATGATTTAAATGTGTCCAAAAGAAACAAATTAAGCTGCTATTGTGAACAACATAAGAAATGTGACACAGAAAGGTCCGTTTTAACTTCATTCACCATGCAAAACAGAAAGCCACTTTATACCACATGCAAATGACAGGTACTCATAAGTCCCATATAGCTTATTAACTAGGAATTTTAGAGCTTAAGTTAATAAAGAGCATACAAGTACTGCAGGTGCTTGAGTTCACCAAGCTCCCGTCCCAAGCTTCCAGAGATGTTAGAATTACCCAAATCCCTGCAATATAACCGAGACAAAGAACCCACACCACTAATCAACCAGAGTAATAAAACTGTGGAAGTAGCTTAAACAAATCAGAAACGTGCAGAACACGATCAGCGATGTGATGTTGCAGAAAATTAATCAGGGGATTAAAGATCTCTTACAAACGAACAACATGGTTGTTGGAGTCACATGTGACATGAAACCAAGTACAAGGATTAACCAGAGTAGGGTCCCAGCTCTGCAGAACATTTTTGGGGTCAAAAAGTCTGCTTCTCAGAGCATGCAAAGCATTTCCTGAAATTTAAAACACATCCATCAAGAGTTCAGGAAATTTATGTAGCATATAAATTATTGATAACAATCTAAAGTAAGAACCAAAACCCTGAAAAGAAAGATTTAGAACATAATGAAAATCAAATAATTCGAGAAAAATAAAGCCCATAACGAAAGAAATAGAGGGTCAGCTTTGGATAGGCAGTTTTGCACCTTCAGAGTTGGTTGAGAGGGTGGGAGAGAAGACGAGGAAAAGGGGAAGGACAAAGATGAAAAGGGCAGAAGGAAAAGCCATTGAAGAGAGAGGGAGATAGATGGTGGAGCAGAAGCAGAGAAGGTGAAAATACTTGTACAAAGAAAGAAATAAGAATGGGATTTTGGGGGGGGGGGGGGGGGGGGGGTGTCCGCGGGGGCTGTGAGGGGACTTGGAAAAAGTCAGTCAGTCAGCTGATGGGTTGGGCCCCACCTTGCCTTGCCGGGGAACAAGTAGTTGGGTCAATTCAACTTTGGAAGCACAAGCTCTAAGACTAATACTAAAGCACTTTAGATGCAGATTCAAAGTTCAAACATTATGGTAACTGTTATGGAGGACAGAAAAGGACAACCCAGCTGAGGTGGTAGAAAGCAAGGAACAAGCAACAACTCCACTGAAAAGGAAAACAGGGGAAGTCGCGTTACGGTCTTGACCCATGAGTTCCGCTCTTATGATGACTGAGTCTGAATTTTCGCTGGGGCTGGGGACCGCTGGCACTAAATCCATTATTTGGTTCTAAATTATTTATTTGCATTACAAATATAATTTTTAATATATTTTTGGGAAATTTGTCAAATTGGTCCCTAACATTTACCAAAAACACTTTTTTAGTCCTTTACATATAAAATCAGCCAAAATGGTCCTTCACATTTAAATTGTGAGCCAATGTGGTCCTATTGCTCGTTTTTGCTCATTTCTCCGGTTAAAAATAGCACGCCTCTCTCACGTGATCATATTTTTAGGGGCAAAACCGGAAACACATTTCATTACCTGTTAAAAGTAAAAGGTGTGGACAACCGCCAAAATACACATTTCACCTTTGGCCCTCAAAGTTTCAAGAAACCCTAAATTGCATCCCACCGCCACGCCCTCAACTGACTCAGCCGCCTCCTCCCTC